CGTGATGATATCAGAAACAAAAGTAATATATATAATATATATAATATAAAAGTAATATAACGAAAATTTTGTTGATATAAATAAAAAGGAATAACATAAAATAAATTAAAACATTTGTTATTAAACATCGTACATATGTTATAAAATGATTTCAGTCCACTTAAAGACGTTTGTGTGAAAATAAATGAACTTTTCAAATTAGAAAACTCTATTAATTGTGTTCTTAGAAAGTATTTTTACTCTGCTTTGGATTTATTCGTTATTTAAATTTATCTGATCTTATTCTTGTATGTGGTATAACTTTAATTATAGAAATTAAACGATCTAATTTTCTTATAAGAATAATTTTTATTATACAAAAAATTTTGGAAATAAGAATTTCGTTCAACGAGCTTTCATAAATTAAAATGTACGCGAGTAAAAGTGATGAATCATTTTGCATCATTCAGTCTCATAAAATTTTCGAATTTATTTTTGCTATTAAAAAATCTTTCACAAATCAATCGAATTGTTGCTATTAAGTTTCCATGTTAAGATATTATCATCAAAATGATTAACTTATTGTTTGACTTATATTGTTCGAGAGCAGGTGTGTATCAAGTAACCCAGGATTCCCCAGGAAGAAAGACAACACAACAATCGACAAGGACGACAAGTGCGAGTAACATTGCATTCACGCTGCGACATCGTGTATGTCAAATTTGTGGGATAAGAATCTCATCGCGGTGATCGTACTGAGAAGGAAATAATATGAAACAACCTTCAGAAGAGAATAAGAGCAGTTTGCTCATTAATGAGAACAACCCCGTGGTTTTTTTGGATGTGGCGATTGAATCCGAAAAAGGTATGAATAGTAAGGTTATGCCAAGTTATGCACGGTGCAAACACCGATTCATGGTCTTATTGTTTTTCAGTGGGAAGAGTTATCATAGAATTGTTCAAGAATATCGTGCCACAGACTGCGGAGAATTTTCGTGTTCTGTGTACTGGCGAGAAAGGTGCCGGGTTGAAAGCTCCAAAACTACATTACAAAGGAACTACTTTTCACAAACGTGCGCATTACCTTGTGATCACGAATATTCAATTCCCTACAACTTTATTCCTTGTCATAATTCTAAGGCCTATAAAAATATTTCTAAACCTTGCCATCTTAAATACTTGTATGTCCCTTATTTATCTTTTTGAAGCTAGATAGAGTTAGAATTCTTTTGCTGATGAGAGAATAGAAATAGAAATATTTTCCATTTCATGATTATCTATCAATAATACAAATCAACACAGCGTGTTCTATCTTTGTTGCTTGGATGTCAAGAAAGATAGACTGATGTTTGTATCGAATTGTGTCACTAATGTCTTTTCTACTAATTTAATTTTAATCTTGGTTCAATTAACTCTTCATCTTTTTTTAGTTCTAAGAATTAGAAAAAGCAAGTTCTCATTCAAGAATTAGAGGAGCAAGTCTTGAACCAAGATTAAAGTTAATTTACATTAGTAGAAACAGACACAATAAATGGAATTAGGCATCCAAAGTTTAATTTATTATGACATTCATCTGTCGTATATTTCACTTCAGCCAAGGCTTTTGGAAATATAAATCATTTATTTATTTTTTTTCTAGGGTAAATAAAGTTAAAATTTGATTTATGACAATTGACTGTCAATAGGCTGCATTGACTGTCATAATCATCATTTGTCTTGCTTAAAATGTGATTCTATGAGTTGATAATTGAAAGTCTTAATCATCTAAATCATCTTGGCTATTGGCTAATTTCACTGATTAAAACTTAAGATTAGGACTTCCGATTATTGCTTCATTATAAAACCTACATAACATTTGATAACCAATAAGAGATTTGTTTGATAACCAATAAGAGATTCGTGTCGCATGCCCCAATATGCATCTACAGTTCCTACTCATTCGAATAAACGCATTGAAATCAAATTTTATTTCAATGCGTTTATTCGAATGAGTAGGAACTGTAGATGCATGAATATCACGTTTCCTTAATTTAAAAATAACTAAAAAATAAATAAAAAGAGCTCGAGGAATAGGCGCTATTCAGAGTGCGCAAATTGATTCAAAGAAATCTCTCAATAGGAAAATTTTTATGGATGTATAAAGAACTCATCCATCAATGAATACTGCAAGCACATAAAGTAAACTACTAATCCAAAGTCTTGGTAGCAAGGAACGTTCACAATTAAAAAATTTTTAAGTCAAATTATAAAATAATAAATAAATGATAAATAAAATTCCGTACTGTATATTTTATTCATCATCTATTTATTTCGTTCCTTGCTATCGAGACTTTGGATTAGCAGTTTACTTTATATGCTTGGAGTATTGGACGTTGACGAGTGAGTTCTTTGTATATCCATTTTCTCATAAGAAAATACTTATTTTATTTTATTATAGACATGAAAATTGTTCCATCCAGCTTTGTAATTGGCGTGAGAAAATATAATATATTCTCGACAGAAAACTTAATTTGGCTTCCCTGGAGATTGCAATAAATAAATTTAACTTTTATTTCTTGAGAGATTTCTTTGAATAATTTGCACTCTGAACAAGCCTAAGGATAATTCCAAGAGCTTTATGAGCGTGAATCAGACCACAGCTATACATGTACAATTTTATTTGAGTTACCACTTTAATTTAGAGATCTATTCTTTATTTACACTAATTGTAATTAAAATAAAATGGATATATATATTTTTTCAAAATTTAGCAAAAACGAGATAAAAAATTTTAATGCAGTCTAGTGCAACGATAAAGAACAGGTGCTTTAGAAATATGAATCATTTATTCTTTTTATTTCTTTTAAGAATGGAATAGAAATTGATTTTTTTAAGACATATACATTTATACACACATCGTATGTAATATTATATTGCTACAGTTATTTCACAGTTCATGATCCAGGGTGGTGATATTGTTAATTTCAATGGAACCAGTGGGGAAAGTATTTACGGTCCTTACTTTGACGACGAGAACTTTAAATTGAAACATAACTTCTCTGGACTACTTAGCATGGTCAACGAGGGGAAGCCAAACACTAACAGTTCTCAATTTATTATTACCGTTCAAGCGGCCACGCACCTGGACAATACTCATGTAGTATTTGGAAGGATTATAAAAGGCATGGGTGTAGTATTAGAGCTCTGTAAAGTACCGACTGAAAACGACATTCCAGTTGATGTAAGGCTGTCCTTTAAATTACAAAGCTAATAATTTTCTAGACCTGTAATTAGCTTCATAATTGATTTGTTTTTAGAAAATAAATATAGTTGACTGTGGAGAGTTGAAAAAAGGTGAAAATTGGGGATTAGAAGAGAATGATGGGTCTGAGGATGTTTATACGCCATGGCCAGAAGATTGGGATTATTCTAAACATGTTAACAAGCTCACTGTAAATTATCATTCATATATATATCATTTCTTTTAAAATTATTATTATGCTAAAATTATATCTTAATTTGAATATATACGTTTTTAGCATAAATTTATGGAGGATGTAATAAGGAAGATAAAAGATTCTGGAAATAGTTATTTCGCAAAGCAAAATTATGTGGATGCTAATAGAAAGTATAGAAAAGCATTACGATATTACAACTGGATGAGCAAACAGAAAAACATGTCGGATACATTTTATGTCTCACTAGTGGATCTTGGATTAACTTTATTACTTAATTTAGCTGCTGTACGATTAAAGCAGAAAGAGTATCGTAAAGTCATAGATCTTTGTAATAAGGTAAGTAAATATTCCGTGAGAAAATCAGAAGTAATGTATTTATACCTTATTTTATGCCTTAATATACATATTTAATTTAGGTTCTGGAAACGGATAACACAAATAGTAAAGCATTATTTCGAAGAGCACAAGCTTATACTTCCTTGAACGAATATGAATTAGCATTAAAAGATTTGCATCAGGCGTCGGATCTGTGTCCTGATACGATTATCTCAAAGGAAATAAAAAAAGTAAAAGAGATGGGAAAGGTTTATTTAGAATTAGAAAAAACCACGTATCAAAGAATGTTTCATTAAATATTTTTATGATTTTGATATTTTTTATATATATATAT